CTAAAATATTTCCATCCACATCTGTCTAGTGCTTTGCAGCCCTGAGAGACCATCATTCACCAGTATTGCCATGAAGTAAGAAACAGAGGTGTTACTATTCCATTATAAAGATGGGTAAATTAACTATTTTATAATATTCCTGGTATGGATAAGCACCAGACTATTATGCACAAGATTGGTGGTTCCAACTCACAAGCTGCTCCTGGGAAACCCTATGTAGGGTCACTGTGAGTCAGAACTGACTTGACAGCTCTGTAACAACAATAACATAGACATTAACAATTCTAGATTGTATTTTTATTCTCCTACATTTACCTAGTGCTTTCAACCACTAATTTGTTTTTTAAATTGTTATATAATTTTACTAAGATAGTATTTTGTTGGAGGTAGAGGATCGAGGGTAACAGTTTAAAGATATCAAGTAATTTCAGGTCTGCCTAGAAAGTCAAAATTATAGGATATTATGGGAATTAAATAAGGACACCTTAAACTCTAAGGTGTGGCATTGTAGAATAAGCACTGGATGACAGGTCAATCTGAACTGCAAGGTTGGTGATTCAAATCCACCAGCCACCCTTCTGAAACCCTATACAGGGTCACTATGAGTTGAAACCACTCAACAGCACTAAATAACAAGCTTCTCTAGAGGGTTTTACGTATTGGATCTTTGGCTGCCTCTTAAGGTGGCATAAGCTAGAACAGGAAGCCATATCTGCTTTCTTCTAGTCTAACTATTTCCACTCTATCACCCTCTGTCTAAGTAGGAAAAACAGGAATGGTCTGAAAGAGACTGGAACTCAAAAATGTCATTCAAAGAGAGAAGAAGAAGACGAAGCAAGGTGTCTCTCTGTAAACCCTAGAAAAAGAAAAGAAAAATGGACTTTTTATGGTTAATTATAATCATGACTTAAGAACTCACTGCCTTTTTGTTAGAAACTAGAAACTTGAAAATTACTGTCCTTTGTGTTGTCTCAATTTGCAGTTTTAGCTTGGTTTATTTCAATGGCAGTTGCTTACAATATGTAAAAGCAAAATGTCTTATTATTTTATCTGGAGTCCAAACTCAATATATATATTTTTTATCTCCAAACCTTTGGACTATAGTAAGAAAATTTAAAATGTAAAATTCTCTATTAAAACAGAAAGAATCCTGTTTTTCTGAGCTCTTCGATTTTCAGTTTTCCTGGAGACAGGAATGATTCTAGATGCCGTTAGACTTGCTAACCAATATGGCAATCACTATCCAAGTGTGGTTATACCCATTTACATTAATAATAAAAGATTCTGTTTCTCACCCCATTTGGACTACAACCATTTCAAGTGCTCAGTACCACAAGTGGCTACCATATTGGACCACACAGGTATGAAGCATCCTCGTCACTGCATAAAGCACTATTTGAGAGTGTTGGTAGTTGTTCAATATCTTGGCAAAATCCAAATCACTCCAATATGACAGGTGGGATTGAGAAAATTAATTCCATTTTTCCCTTTCTGCTGCTTCCTAAGTCATTTGCTGTTGACTAGGTGGATATAGCCAGGGGGTCAAATGATGAAAAAAAAAAAACAGTATGCAATATTTAAAAGGTCACTGTATTTCTTGGGAACATTCTGTTCCTTCATTACACATTATCAAGGGGAGATGAGAACTGAAATAATAGTCTGCTCTACTTGTCAGCACAATATATGTTTTCTGAAAGCTTCTGTTTTTAAAACTCACTACCAAAAGTATCCACTATATCTTATTTATTCCAAAAGGCACAGAATTATTGTTAAGAAAATAGAAAAACAAAATCAAAACAAAACCCAATTCACAATGAAAAGTTCTAAAAACAAACAACTCTAACATAGTGCTAGAAAACTATGTTACAAGACATTAAAAAGATGGAAATGCCTTATCAAACAGTAAAGAATGCTCAAACTCCTACAGTAGAAGCAGCATGGCTTCTGAAAAGAGCAATACTAGTTTCGTTGGTGGTGGTGATGTGCCGTGGAGTCAGTTCCGACTCATAGCAACCCTCTACAGGGTTTCCGAGGCTGTAAATCTATACAGGAGCAGAAAGCCTCATCTTTCTCCTGTGGAACAGCTGGTAGTTTCGAACTTCTGACCTTACAGTTCGCAGCCTGATTTGTAACCACTATGCTACCAGAGCTATCCTGGACTTTACTCATTAAATGTTGAGCATTCAAATATTGAGCCTGATTAGTGTGACAAGTTCTAGTTACTCCCTTAAGGGTGTTCATCTCACATAGAAACTCATTTCACATCTCATCAGTTACAACGATGAGCTGGCGAAACTGGTTTCTCCTTTCTCAGGGGTAAGAATACAGATACAGAACTAATATAATAAAAGATAAGTTTTCCCTAAAGAGCCTGAGCTCAAGCCAGCCCCATTTCTGAAAAATGGAACAGGTTTTCTGCTATTTCCCATAGGGCACTCAATATAGTGAGAGCCATGACACCTTTCCAGAGTGTTTTAGAAGTCCAGGGGAAATATGATAGGAGTGTTTGTTCCAGGTATGTAGTCACTGACTGAGTGATTGATGCTGTTTTGTCCCTTTGTCCAGCACTTGGCAGAGTGATTTTGTATAGAGCTCTGCAGAGCCCTAGAAGTAAAAATATTATGACACGTGTCTTAAAGTGATGCTTTAAAGAAGTTTGAAAAGATGCCAAGATTTCAGACCTGTCCATGTTACAGAATAAAGAGATGCAGGGTTTTTCATACTTGATATTAATTGTAAACAGAAATTTATAGGTAGCAGTCATTATGTACTCAGACAAGAAAGGAACAGGGAGAAAAGAGAGTGGTTGGGTCCTTTAAAGTTAACTGCTGGGGAGAAAAAAGGTCCTTCTGGGTTTGTGGTGAACTTCCTTGCTACCACAATAAGCAGTTAAACAAATCAAGCTAATATAAAGCACTCTACAAATACAACAAAGGCCTGCACTTAAATATTCTTCCTCATTGTTTACTAAAGAGAGATCTTGTCACTTAGATTTTCCTTAGATCCTTTGAACTGCAACCTGATTATTGCATTCTGCATTTATCCTGAGAGTACCTCTAAACATTAGTAAATGCAAGTTTTTAGAAACAAAAGATAACGTCCCAACTAGAGTTCTTCAGGTTATACAAATATATAACACAATAAACACAGACAAGAGCATTCTCTAGTGATGAAAACATACTTCTTTTTAAACTATGGGGTGAAGTAAAAATAAAATATATGTTCTATGTAGGCCTAAAATAGCATGCCCCATCCTAACATAAGGATGGTCACTGTGGCCTACAACTTCTTCCATTTTTCAAACTGAAAATACCAGTTATAACATAGTTATTTTTCACTTAGGCCAGAAGCTACTTCTTAACTTACTATGGTTTTTAAGATAAAAAGAAAATCCACTTTCACAAAACTGGAGATTATATTTAGGGAGATTAGAGATTTTATTTAGGAGTACTATCTTTTCCTACCACTAGTCGTCTGTTAGTTTGTCAGACTTGTGTGTTGCTATGATTCTGGAAGCTATGCTACTGGTATTCCAAATACCAGTAATAAGGTGGACAGGTATCAGAGGAGCATCTTGGTATAAAAAAAGAGTCCGGTAACCTACTTCCAAAAATTGGCCAATGTAAATAAACCCTGTGGGTCACAATGGTGCAATCCCATTGTATATGGGATCACCATGAGTGGTGGCAAACTGGACATCAACTAACAATAATGTCTTCCTTTGTTTTGGTGGACTCTGAGAGAAAGCAACTGAAACAAGGATGCCCATTTATTTCCTATCTCTGTTTATATTTTCAAACACATTTCCATATTATGCTTCATAGCTTACACAAGAGTTATTTGGTATAACTTCTTAGTCTCATTTCACATATCTGAAAACGGAGACTCTAAATATCAGTGGCTTGCATATTCTTCCAAAAGCAATAAATGATAGCACGCTAGTCAGTGTCCTGGTGTGGTGCTGTGGGTAATGCGCCAGACTGCAAAGCCATTTGAACTGCAAGGTCGGTGGTTCAAGCTCACCAGCGTCTCCTTGGAAACCCTATACTTGGTCACTATGGGTCGGAACTGACTCGACAGCACTTAACAACAACAAGAAGTCAGTGTCAGACCTTCTAACGTCTCTTGTTTACTCTTTATTTTCATTCAGTAAAGCACTAGATATTTAAAAAGGGAAGTCCTGGTGTGGCTCTGTGGGCTAATAAGATAGATGGATTGCGAAGTCGGTCTGAAAAACAAGGTCTGTGGTTCAAGCTCACCAGCTGCTCCTCGGAAACATTATACAGGGTTGCTATGATTGGAACTGACTCGACGGCACTTAACTACAGCAACATTTAAAAACGAAAAAAAAAAAAACAAAAAAACATAGCACTAATGCAAGGAGCCCTGGTGGCACTCTGGTTAAGTTCTTGTTGCCAACCAAAAGGTCAGCAGTTTGAACCCAGAGGCTGCTACCGGGACAAAAGATAAGGCTTTGTGCCCCAGCAAAGATTTATAGCCTTGGAAACCCTATACAGTTGCTGGGGGCTGGAACCAATTCAAGTGACAGCTGATAAAAATATCTTCTTACTGTGCTTAAATTTTTAATGCCTGAATTTAATTGAAGTTTGACCCCTAGCATTTTCTTAAAGCAACCTAGATTTCACTAATATATTCTATAAATAAATAACATCCTGTTTCAAGAAAGGTACCCAATAAACTTAGAAATTAGTGGATCACACATAATCATCTGTATGATCCACTTAACTTTCAAGTCTATATTCCTGCCAGGCTGTTGTTAAATCACATAGTTCATTGTGAAAATTAACAAAAGGAGTCCTTTCGGCAGGATAAACTTAAGACACTAGGTTTTAGGAGCCTAGGGCAGGTAGAAATTCAGCTTCAAATCATCTTCCTAGCTGGAAACACTTGCATTGTCCCTGCTGTACCCTGTAGAGGACTGATGTAGCCAGAAAGGGCTAAATGCAACGTGGCAACAAAGACATTTTGGAAGGACATACCTCGTAATACTTTTTCACAGTTTTCCCTGCAGTGCACCTACAGGACTTCCAGTGGACAGTTCCACAGCCACAATTGCCTCCACAGCGCTGCACAAGGAGGCAACGTGGAAAAACGACCAAGTTGGTCAGCTTCAGCTCTCTCCTTATATTGACCGAGTAGTTCCGGGGAGTGCAACTGTACCTCTTGGCATCGTCATTCATCCTGTCCAGGTTAACTGTAAGGAAACACACATAATGGGAAGACACATGCTTTAGGGAACGTAGTGAAAAGGTTCTGTGAAGACAATCTTAACCTAGAGAATCATCTGTCCTTTTTCATTTCTAAATTATTTCTAAATCAATCCTTGATTCTGAGTCATACATTTTTTTTTTTAAGTTTTTATTGTGAATTGAGTGAAAGTTTACATGGGAGCACATCGGTTTTACACTCATCGATTCATTGTAATGATTACAATCCCCTCCATGCACTGCATGATCATTCAGCAGTATTTGCCTTTATTTCCTTTTTTTTTAATGAACACAAAAACACTCAGGAATATATATTCTTTTAAACAACCAAAGAGCACATTCTGCAAGCCTGCCTCCTGGCCGCCAGCACACAGCCCTTCTCTTTCCATGAATCTAGAGTCATTTTAAAAAACACAATTTGAGTTATACAGGGACACATTAGGGATAACTAATCTATTTACCTGGTAATGAAACTGTACACGTAAACATGGGGGAGAAAAGCTCTAGCTTAAGTTTAACTCAAAGGTCAATCAAAGTGTTAAAGAAAAGGGCATTTGTTGTTGCTGTTGTGAGTATAATTCATTATTTGTGCATTGAGCCCAAGCATAGAGGTTAAGTGCTTGGGCTCTGCAGTAAAGCTACAGCCTTCACTTTAGTACTCTGCCTCTTTTTAGTTGGGAAGTTACTTAGCTGCTCTGCCTTTTCTTCTAAATGTTGTAAATAATATAAAACTACTTGATGGATTGATTGTATTATGCCTGGCACTCAATTGGTACTAGTTATTCCTTTTCATCTTGATTCATATTAATGATTTGCGTATTTTTTCCCCCTTTAAACTGTTGTTGCTGCTATCGGCTGGAGCTGTCATCTTACGGTAATCCCCCAAGATGTGGAACACAAAGAGAAAGAGGCAGGGTACATGCTATATGTTCTCCAGGCCTTTCACAAAACATGGGGTCGTTCCTTTGGCCACATACATGTGAATCTACAAGAAAGGCTATATTGTGGACATCAAGGGAATGGGCACAGTTCAGAAAGGTATGCCCCACAAATATCACCACGGGAAAACTGGAAGAGTCTACAGTATGACCCAACATGCTATTGGAATTGTTGTGAACAAGCATGTCTAGGGCAAGAGTCTTGCCATGAGAATTAGTGTGCGCATTGAGCATATTAAGCGCTCTAAGAGCAGAGACAGCTTCCTGAAGCGAGTGAAGGAAAATGATCAGAAAAAGAAGGAAGCCAAAGAGAAAGGGACCTGGGTCCAGCTAAAGCACCTGCCTGCTCCCCTCAGAGAGGCGCACTTTGTGAAAACCAATGGAAAGGAGCCTGAGCTGCTAGAACCTATTCCCTATGAAGTCATAGCTTAACAGTGAAATAAAGATGGCTGAGGTGTACAAATGCCAGGTCTTTGGTTGTAATTGTGTGGAGGGGTGGTGTTCCCCCTCCGCCAAATGCATAGTATTTAAAGCACATTGTTCCCCAGTTTGCTTGATAATAAATGTTTTTACTACTGAAAAAAAAAGCAAAAGCAAAAAAAAACTGTTGTTGCTGTTAAATGGCTTAGAGTTGGTTCAAGTTCTTAGCAATCCTGTACAGGGTTTCCAAGGAGCAGCTGATGGGTGGATTTGAACACCTGACCTATACATAGGTCAGCAGTCCAGTGCTTATCCTACAATGCCACACCAGATCTATATAGCCAAAAATAAAGAAACAAAACACAAAATATTCACATATTTCTCTTTTTGGACCATGGCTTTATGTCAATAATTGTCATGATTAATGGGACTTTTATGAATTAAAAAAATCACTGTAATTTTTCAAATCTAAGTCATAAATAGTTATGTCATTTTCATGCAGTGAATTCTGGTTCTTTGTGACCTTAATGGGCAGAGTAGAACTGCTCCATTGGATTTTTGAGACTGTAAATATTTAAGGAGACAGACCACCACATCTTTCTCCTGTGACGTGGCTGGTGGGTTCAAAATGCTCACATTTCGGTAAACAACCGACTCTTTTAACCACTGTATCATCAGATGTCCTCAGAAATACTGACTTAAATAAAATCTGTATTATTGTTTTATATAAATTATATTTTAACTAGTGTTCTTAAAATCCACTTAACAATCGTCTACTTGGCATCCAAATCCAACGATTAGTGAGCTGATACATGAATATCTTTTTACAAGAATACAGCTAGGAGAAAAGCATTTTATCTACATGAGTTCTAACTACTTTTTCTTAGTGTGCTTCCCTTGTGTACCAGTTAGACCACCACAGGGAGACTCTGGCCCTATTGTGTCTTAGTTTTAAACAAAACTCTTTGAGAAGCAGCAAGGAATGGTCTTTTGGTGTAGAGGTTAAAAGGCCAAGGACTTGTCAGTAGAACACATCTGAAGAAAACTTTAAGGAAGAGAAGGCACAAGTATGGGCAAGGAGTCTCCCTGGAATTGCTTATTTAAGGAATATCCACGTATATGACCAGTTTTGTTTTGTTTTTTTGTTTTTTTCCTGGCCCTCCCTGGAAGTCAAGAGTCCTCAGGAAATCAGCTAATTTCATTGAGGGCCAGGAAAAAAACCCAAAATGGGTCATATAGTTGGATACCTCTGGAAGAAAGAACTACATAGCAATTGGACTGAAACTCTGCCTAACTGTGTGGGTGACTACCTTTCATGTATGGAATGATGTTTTGAATTCTCAAGAACAGGGGTTTAGTTCCAATTGTTATATCCCAAGCTTAGGACACTGTTGGAGTTGAATAAATGCTAAATAATCATTGTGCATAATTTATTGCTGTTTTTCTCCCTTCCTTTGTAAAGGCATGTCCTAAGTTTAGTTATAATCAATCCAGATTTAAATTGAATGAACTCTGTCTTGGGAAAGGAACCATTTTATTGCTGCTAAAGCCCTGAAAATAACTGCAAGCAAAGCAGGAAGGATTACATAAATGGATTAAGAAGTGCAGCAATCATCCCTTACAAGTGTCACCTTGAGATAAATACCGATGCTAGCCTGAGCACTGCTGGGCTGTGGGCAGGACTGATGCAGAGGGCCAAGTCTGCTGCTTATGATAATGGGGGGATATTTGTCTAACACAGATGAATAAGAATAAAAAGAATCCTATTAGCAAGAAAGTATTGTGATGTGTGGGAAGGGAGACAGGAAATAGCAGTATTAAGAGGCATGTAATATATGCCACTGGACTTACTTATTGTCCACCCTTTTGAGGTGGGTACAATATATCCAAGGTGAACAGTAAGTGGTTAAATGGATTTGAAGCCCTTCCTCCTTCTGTTCCACAGTCTTTGCCATATCAACCAGAACAGGGGGATGATGGGTAACTCAGAAGCTAAAGGTAGAGGACCAACCTCCTGGATGCTCTGTCAAGTTTCTCAGTAGGTGTTATATAGAGGGAGAGGTGATGAATGGTCACATTCTTATTTCCAGGATATATTCAAGTCAAATGAAAGCATAGCTACTCTTTGGAATTAAGCTAAATCCTGAAGTATCCTTCATAAGGATAAGGCGTATATGACTTACTCCCCTTGAAATGAAATTCTTCATATTATATAGCTGTTCTGGTGACTGGAGCTGGTGACTTCTGTTTCTTACTAGCCATGAAGAGATTTACATTGTCAGTTTTCTGCATCAATTCACTGATGAGACTAAAAACCGTGGCCCAGTGTGACTGCCGTAGAATCCAGCTGCCCTACTTATCAGGGGATTGAAACTATCAAGGCACTCAATTTAGAACTACAACTAAAAGGTTCTTCTGACTGGATGCAAATAATTTCATTGCGTGATTGCAGACTCTCTGCAGGGGATATTGAGTTTCTAGTCAAAGAAGACTGATTAGGCAGCTTGGCAGAGCAGGGAGCCAGGCATGCGGCTGAGCAGCAATTAGGCTCTGGTGCTCAGCTTGGGAGGGGAACTGGTGGAGCCTTCTGGGAGGGAGGCAGGGTGAACTGTGCAAATCTAGGGAAAGGGGTTGTCCTTTTCCGTTCATGCTTTATCTTTACAGAGGAGCAAGGATGTTCTCGATTTAATTCCAAGACTCATTAATTTCATCCAATTTTCCTTATTTCAAACTTGTTCTTGGTGCCGCCAAGTCATTATCAATTCATAGTGACTCGCACAACAGAACAAAACACTATCTGGGCCTGCACCAACCTCACAGTTATTGCTACATTTGAGTCCATTGCTGCTGCTACTATACAAATCCATCTTATTGGGGATCTTCCTCTTTTTTGCTGACCCTACATCTTACCATTCGCTAAAAGCAAAGAATACCAGAAAGATGTTTACCTGTGCTTTACTGACTACACAAAGGCTTTCAATTGTGTGGATCGTGACAAGCTATGGACAACATTGTGAAGTATGTGAGTATTCCAGAACACTTAATTGTGCTCATGAGGAATCTGTACATGGACCAAGAGGCAGTTGTTCGAACAGAACATGGGAACATGGAGTGGTTTAAAATTAAGAAAGGTGTGCGACAGGGTTGTATTCTTTCACTATACATATTCAACCTGTATGCTGAACAGATAATCCAAGAAGCTGGGTTATATGAAGAAAATCATGGCATCAGGATTGGAGGGAGAATCATTAATAACCTGCAATATGCAGATTATACAACTTTGCTTGCTGAAAGTGAAGAGGACTTAAAATATTACTGATGAATGTCAAAGAGCATAGTCTTCAGTATGGATTGCATCTCAATGTAAAGAAAATAAAAACCCTTGCCACTGGACCAATAAACAACCTTATCAACAGAGAAAACAGTGAAGTTGTCAAGGACTTCATTTTCTTGGATTCAACTATCAACACTCATGGAAGCAGCAGTCAAGAAATCAAACGATGTAGTGCATTAGGCAAATCTGTTGCACAAGACCTTTTTAAAGTGTTGAAGAGCAAAGATGTCAGCGTGAGGACTAAGGTGTGCCTGACCTAAGCCAAGGTATTTCGAAAACTTCATATGTATGCGAA